CATTGGAAAGTTCTATATGTAATCCTTACGTTTTTGTAGATGACATTTTTTGTTGTTCCCATCGTATTCTTCTGTAGACAAATAATAATGAATAATCATATTTATTTTATTTCAAATTTATTATTATCTAACAAGTTGAAAATTAACCCTTCAAAGACCAAAGCGTTATATTTTCATCCACGTAACCAAATTGCATCTATTAACAGTATTGCAATAAATGGTTCCCCTATTTTGTGCATTCTATGAAGTGTCTTGGCTTAATTATTGATTCTCACATTATCTTTACTAACCATATTAATGATATTAATGAAAAAGTGCGCCTTACTTTAAGAAGACTTTATAGTCTTAATTCTTTTACATCCTTAAATGTTAGAATACACTTGGCCAAATCTTTATTAATGTCCATTGTAAATTATGGCATTAAAGTTTTTTCTGGAACGTGGTCTTATAATCTTGATAGGATTAAAAAAATAGTGAGTAAAATTGTTAAATATATTTTTCATATAGGTATCCATATAGGTATCCAGGTATCCATGCTCTTCAATTAACACCAGTATTTATAGGTTGCAATTGTAGGGATTACATTAATCTGCGTACAGTTCTTCATTTTTACAAGTGTTGGTTCATGAGTTTGCATTTATAAATTCTACACGTTACATACAAATTGATGCTCCATTAGTGCGAACTTCTACTTTTTAACACTCCTTCGTAGTTCGTGTTTACCGACTCTGGAACTGTTTTCCATGTTCGCTGAGAAAATTTGGCTATTCTTACTCCATGGCATTCATACTGTAATTATTAACTATAGTTATAGTTGTGTTACTTACTGATTTAAACGATTCAGACAAATTCGGGATTGTCTCTTGGGAGAAAAGGATAAAATCATTCATTTAATTTTGAAAGTTTTATATGTGTAGTCTTTTTGGGTACTCCCCAAGCGGCAACGTACAAACTGTTATTTCTACATTTTATGTATTTATTGAGTAAAAAAGTAAAAAAGCTTTGGAAAAAAAAAACAATATTTTACCATGCACGAGCATTTTTTTTAATTTGATTAACTTTATTTAATTTAACTCGATTTCTTGAAAACTGAAATTGCAGGTGGGTTACATTGAAGTGTAGTACCGAATTATGAGGTGGCGAAACTGAATAGATAATGCCAATATAATTTACTTATAACTCCAGAATGCCATGAGGGTTTTTGACAATTCATACAAACATATCTTAGCATATGGTATCTTATCGCACGAAATTGTGCCAATAAAATGTGATTGAAAAGAATCTTTATGGTGTGAAATTTTTTCATTTTGACATACTATATTGAAACGTAAATTTTTTATTGTTTTGAATTCTGAATGAATATAATTAAAATTAAAAGAAGTGCGCAAATGGCTTTCATGTCTAAAATTGGCTATCAACTCCAGGACCCACTATGTAGGAAGATGCAAGCACATTTAAACAAATAAAAATACCGGCAAAGCGTTATGTAGGTCATTTCACTTCTTTCATGTGACAGTAATCCATCCAATGTCAACTCAAATTGCAAAATTTATTGGGACTTCAAACAGTGAAATCCCGAATATAAAGGGCGCAAAATAGCAGTCCCACCAGAAACTCTCCCTTAGCTTAAAAGATACCTTAAATCGCTTTTGCAGGTTATGATATAAGGGTGCAACCCGATTTCAAGTATATTTTACATTTTAACTATATTTTTCGTACTTATTTCAGCAAATGTTGGTAATTTAGGAAGAAACCATCCTTGCAAAAAATTATCACATATTGGTATACCATCATATGATATAAACTATTTTCGGGGTCTTGGACAATTCTAAGGGGGTAAAAAAAACCCTTCGCATAAAGTTTTCTGAATATGACCCCTCCTGGTCTTGACCAAATTCATCAATTGATTTGGCAAAAAAAATATTGTATTTAGGCTACCCTGGGATAGAGAACCATCTTACAGATAACTGTCCACATAGGCATTTATTTAAGTATAGTCCCCACATTAGTGTATCTGCAAGTCCACATTCTCAACTAATGTCAGGTCAGAAAATAAAAATAAAAATGTTTTGTAATTTTTCTTCTATAAATCTAAAATTTCATTTGATTTGCAAAAAGTTTCGTTTTGGTTGGAAAAAGTTTCATTTCGGTTGCAAAAGGTTTAATTTCCGCTGCAAAAGGTTTCATTTCCACTGCAAAAGGTTTCATTTCCACTGCAAAAGGTTTCATTTCCGCTGCGAATGGTTTCATTTCAATTGCAAAAGGTTTCATTTAATCTGAAAATGCTATATATGAAAGAAATTCCGAAATGCCAAACTGGGACTCATTCAGTCGAAAATTTTGGCAGAAACATGAAAAAATTACGAATCGAATATCACGGGACCGAACATTTGTTTATTCGTCATTGAATTATACTATGATGAAAAATATGGACTATTTAAATGACAAGAACAATTAATTCCCATCAGTGCTTTACTATACTTTAAAGAGTTTCACATAACAATTATAAGTTTTTATGGGCAATTTGTGAGAATTAAATCATATCAACTATGACCATAGTTCTAATTTAAAGTAATTGAATGTAATATCCTCCTCTGAATTGATTTCTACTAAATTTTCCGTGGCGTTTGTGCTTTTTCAATTCAGGATTTTATTACCCATTTGGTGCACAATTGACATGATATCGGATCAAGATATATATGGGAGCTTTATACAAATCTGAACCAATCTCGATAAAATTTGGTAATGGTATTTCTGAACTGTATTTGATATATTTTGACATATTACGGCTGCGGAGGAAAATATACCATACTATTTGGGCTGATATTACAAGTTTCGTGCACAATAAAAGGCAAATCGGACGAAGATATATTTGGGAGCTATGTCTAAATTTTGACCGATTATCTCCAATTTAAATATAGTCTGTCCATGGTCAAACAAAATGAAAAATTTCATTTCATGCAGATCATAATTTTTCATTTCATGCAGATCATCTCGTTTCCTTTTACAAACAAATGCACAAAGACAATACCCTGACCAAAAAAGTATTTGGATTCACAGTGCTATTTAGAAGAAGAATAAATATCAAAATAAAACCACTCCACGTCCATTTTTATACCCTCCACCATACTATGGAGGGTATATTAACTTTGTCATTCCGTTTGTAACCCCTCGAAATACTCATGTCAGACCCAACAAAGTATATATATTCTTGATCAGCGTAAAATTCTAAGTCGATTTAGCTATGTCCGTCTGTCTGTCCGTCTGTCTGTTGTAATCACGCTATCTTTCGAATGAATTGAGATATATGGCTAAAATTTTGCACACATGTTTATTTTTCCAGTAGGCAGGTTAAGTTTGTAAATGGACCATGTAGGTCCACGTTTTCATATAGCCCCCATATAACGGTACCTCCCTATATTCAGTATTTTGATGAGTTTAGCGACATTATTCACCGGAATTGTTTCAAACTTGGTATTTGAAGTTCCAAATGGATACTTCAACCTAAGATAGAAAATTGTCTGTGCAAGTCCATGTCTTCGTATAGCCCCCATATACGGTACCTCCCGATATTCGATATTTTGATGATTTTAGCGACCTTTTTCCCGGAAGTAATTTAAAATTTAGTATTTGAAGTTCAAAATGGATACTAATCCTAAGACAGAAAATTGTCTGTGCAGGTCCACGTCTTCGTATAGCCCCCATATAACAGTACCTCCCGATATTCGGTATTTTGATGATTTTAACATTATTCACGGGAATTGTTTCAAATTTGGTACTTGAAGTTCAAAATGGATACTACACCCTAAGACAGAAAATTGTATGTGCAGGTGCACGTCTTCGTATAGCCCCCATATAACGTTACCTCCCTATATTCAGTATTTTGATGATTTTAGCGACATTATTCACCGGAATTGTTTCAAAATTGGTATTTGAAGTTCGTTATGGGAACTACAGTCTGTGACAGAAAACTGTCTGTGCGGGTCCAGGTCTTCGTATAGGCCCCATAAATCAGTACCTCCCTATATTCGGTATTTTGACGATTTTAGGTACAATACCCACCGAAATTGTTTGAGATGTGGTATTTGAAGTTCGTAATGGATACTACAGCTTGTGACAAAAAATTGTCTATGCTGATCCAGGTCTTCGCACAGCTCCAATTTAACGGCACCTCCTTATATACGATATTTTGATGATTTTAGCTACATTATTCACCGTTTATTACAAGTTTCGAATTTGAATATGGTAATGGCCCCAATATAACGGCTATATTCGGTATTTTTAAAATTTTAACAGAATTTTTTAAGGATTTTATTTTTGAAAATTTCCAAATTCGTTTCAAATGGTGGAGGGTATTAAAAGTTCGGCCCGGCCGAACTTACTGCTTTTTAACTTGTTTTTTTTTTTTTTAATTTTTCGGGTTTCACGAAATTCTTGGGTCCCGGACATTTGACCCAAAAGTCCGAGTGCAAAAACTTTATTAACCTTCGCAGTAGTCAACATAGGTAACATTTGACTGCTAAAAATGAATACCTATCTAACAAGTGGTACATGAACCGATTCGGGAGTTATAGCAAAACAATGGATTTTTTGGGACCAGGATTTTTTACAAAAACTACTTTTCCGTTTAAAAATCGCTACATGTACACAAGACTTAGGACAGCATTTGGAGTATAAAAATATCGAATTAGAAAGAATTAATTAAGGTATATGCGTAGCATTCTTTATTAAAATGATTAACTAATTTCCAAAAAAGGAATATGATATTCCGTATGTATTATTATTAAACCGAAGGAAGGAAGTTGTACAAACCCGCAATTAACAATTAATATTTTTGTGCCGAAAATTTAATTCTAGTAAAAAATCCAGCAATAAATAGATGGACCATATACGTAATATAACTTGGAAAACTTTTAATTGTGCAGGAGTTTACGGGTGCAAGATGTTAATTTCAAGAAGTTGGAAAATGGTTTAACAAAATCGTTTTATTGCATACTTACATGACTGTAACAGTTGAAGAGTTACGGTAAATATCAGGGAATTAACTACCAACCGAAAACACAATTCTAACATTCTGCTCTTCTTACAGAATCTCCTTTGTAATGAAGATATTTCCTATGAGAGAAATTCAAGTCGATATTTCGCTGAATATTTATATCAACGTATCCTTTTATCGATTCATTCGATGAAATGGTATAGACATCTCAATTACTTATATGTAGGTGGAGCATATACAGCAAATTTGTAAGATTTGTAGAAACATATTAAGTACTTTGCAAATAGAAACTCAAATGTTGTTTTATAATTAATTAATTCGCAATTTTGTCTTCATTTTATGTTTAATTCGAAACACTTTAAAAAATATATTAATTGTTTTTCTCCGTTTTCAATTTTTACTCCTTCTCTTAAGCAAAGACTCTTATTTAGGGATACGAACAAGAATCTCAGTTAGGGATACGTAATTCGATTTTCGACGAGTTTACTTTAGTATCAAAAGAGCACAGAAGAACCCCCTTATAGAAGCAGAGAGCCAGCCATCGTAGATTAACGAGGTAACCTTATCAGGCCAGCGGAGAGAAAATTTAACAAATTTTTGCAGTCTGAATTCGCCTCAAATATTCACATAAATATCTTCGAAAGGGGAAAACATTTAGTAAAGCTAAATTTGTATATATGTTCCTGGACGAAAAAATTGGATAACTTGTGAAATGTACAAAGCAAAATATTGTACAAATTGTAATTTTTTGCTGATTCGTAATGCGTGTTAGAATTATAAGAAGGTAGAAGCAAAACTACAACAAATACTATTCAACAACAGCCACATCAAGGTAGATCTAACCAGCGTACGAAAATAAACTATTGAAAACGTTTGCAATCGTTTTGTTCTGTATTTTCCCGAAGTACGAAACAAAACCAATACTCAGCTAACGGCACTTGTTTTTTGTTTTGTACTGTTTGTGTATGTGAGTAGAAACAAAAACAAAACTGAAATGTACTCTGCTGGATGACGCAACATTGAAAACAGAACAGTACAATACACATTGCAAGCGTTTGCTTGTAAATATATTAACTCATTACAAATAATATTGAAAGTAATATTAAGATGAATTCATGTATTTTTATTCATGTTTGAAAAAGTTTTAATAAAATAATATTATAAAAATGGTTAAAAAATAATTTGCCTTCATATTCAAATGCTCCATTTACTTTTGTTAATAAAATATGATCCAAGTTTTTTGGTGTTAGACGAAAACAATCTCTCCACGCTTACTTGTGTACATGGAATCGATAAAAATTGAATGCAATTGTTGTTAGGGTATTGTTTTCAGTTGTCCTGTAGTATATAATATTTACATTTTTTGCTAATCTGGGCTGTCTTTCATAAATTAGGAGGTAACGTTCAATACTTTTTATGTGTGACTCACTGCAGGAAGGTCTATCACAAGTTTTAAGGTAAGCTTCAAGTGCATTTTCAGTATTACTTGGTTCGGTACAAGAGGTTGAATTAGAAAATTCAGATTTAGAAAAATATGCAGTGTACAATTATTTCCTGAAAAATATATGAAATCTTAAATGGCCGGTCTTCTGTCATACGAAGTGGTCTGCCATTTTTAGTAAACAACTCCACTATAGCATTTTCCACACTTTTCTTATCAATTATGCATGACATTTTTAATACAGTTTTATTAACTGGCTGTTCATTTTCCATTTATATGTAGTTTTGATAGATTAGGGTGTGCAGTTTTTAAGTACCTTTCTAAATTACCTTCATGTCAGCATAATGTTTTATGGTAGTCTCCGTTTCTGCGCATAAATCGTTTATTTTAATCGTCGAAATCAAAGATTTCTAGTGTTATATCATTTTTTGGACGCGGCATGGTCTTACAAAGTCGCGGCTTGGTCTTACAAATTTTCAGCTGCTAATTGTCATCGTAAATAAATATAGGTAGATTTATTAGTGTAAACAAATGTGAACAATTTAATGTGAACCATGGTAGAAGAATATAGGTAGACGCTTCGACACAGCTGCTGGGACAATGAACTGTCAAACCAATTTTGGAATTTAAATTTTTGAATGAAAAATTACTCAAATTTGTAAAAATTATTAAAAAATGCTTATTATAACAATCTCCGATTGGCGTTGTGTGGTAAAACATAGACAAATGTACTTATTTTTGCAGAAATATTTAAAAAAATTTGACATATCAATGTTCCCAAGGGTTGATGCATCTACCTGTATTTTTCTACCATGAATGTGAACATTGAAAATTCAAAAATGCTATAATAATACTTTAAAAATAAGTAGATATTTAAATAATGTTTTGTACAATGTGATTGGTGTCGTTTTTATTATAGTTAAAAAAGTTTAACAAACAAACAAACAAATTTTTAATTTAAATTTACATTTTTGACAGTTCATTGTATCACTAGCTTTTTGAATACACTCAGTGTTGCCAGTATTGTGCAAAAATATATAGGCAGTTTTGTTTGGCGATGGTCTGAATGATGTAGCAAGAAAAAAAATAAATTTGTTTAAAATAGAATATGGAAAACGTTTAACAATACTTCGACTTTTCACCAAGAGAAAAACTTATAATTATGTCTAGCATACAACGGAAAAATATATAAAAATATTATTTAGAATGGCAACTCTAAATACACCAGTCATAATTTCGCTCAGCAAACGTTTGGAAACGTTTCCTGGTGATTTGTTCGCAAACAGAACAGATTGGCAACTCACGGCCATAGTACATTAAAGCAAATGTACTGTTTGTGTATTTCTGGCATTGAAAGGTTTGTGTTTTTGTTTTGTATGAAGTACAAAACGATTGAAAAAATTTTAAAAGTTTGTGGCTTCGTGTGAGCGGTACGTTAATCGTTTCGTTTGTTTTGGATCCAACAGTTAACCGCATCGGCGAATTGCTACAACAAAGCAACTTTTGTGGTACCCTCAAATGTCAAAATTGACATCTAAGGCGAAAAATAGATATTCGCCGTGATATTTGAAGTTTGCGGCAAATTTGCTACAGCAAATCAGAAACGAGGTGACTGTTTACATTTTATGTTGTGTATGGAAATTAAGCCAATTAATAATACGACTCTCGGGGACCATTGCAAAGTTCCCAAGTTAATAGTTAGCCCTCGAAGTGTTTATACAAGCCCACAATTGTAATATCTTCTACGTCTGGGCCGCCTGGAAATGTCCACGATAAATTACATTTCAAGGCCAGTGTTGAACATATTCTCAACACCTAGGATTTAAATAAAATAGCACCACATGACATGGATTCACCCGCCTACATCTCCAGCGACATTGCCCAAAATGTATCGAATGTTAACAGTGTACATATGCAGCAGCAGTAACAACAATTCTCGATTCGTTCCATGCAAAATCAGGACACCAACACTCCAATGAATATGGCCACACATACACCACACATTCAACAACAGCAGCGTCAGCTGGGCTGATGCGGCTACCTAATAGATATGCCTTGGGCCACTTAGTACTTTGTAAATGCATCATAGTAGAAGAATGCAGGCATTCCCATCGACAGAGCCGCTGGAACAAAGAACTGTCAAACTTATTTTGAAATGAAATTTTTTAATGAAAAATTGTGATGAACTGTAAGCATGGTATAATAACAGGAGGTAAACAAATAATATATTTTTTGTGGCCTTATTATCACAAAACATTTAGGGTGTAAGTACATAAGAAGCTTGAAGTCATGGCTAGGCACATTTTGTGATATTTCATAAAGGGATTGCATTAATTATAATTTGATATTAATATGCCTAGCCACGACTTCAAGCTTTTTATGTACTTACACCTTTACGCAATTTGTATATGTGTGTATTTTGCTTTCAATAAAAAATAACAAATAAAGGTTATAGAACAATAAATTTTAAATGGATTAATTGAATTAAATGTAGAAAACATGTTTTTTAATTTTCCCCATGCTAGAAGTTTTTTTTTATCAATTTTAACGATTTTGTATAAATTTTCATTCAAAATGTTCAATTTCAAAATTGGTGTGACAGTTCATTGTTCCAGCAGCGATGTCGGTGCGACTACCTGAATTCTTCTACCATGATTTTTCTTTCAGATTAAGTTTTATGCTAGACTATGAAAATTTTCATTAATGTGAAAATGAGTTTATAGGCAAGAGGTATGAAGAGGGTGAAACTATGTACACAAACTTCTGTAATCTGAAATTATTCCTTGTGCTTAAATTCGTAACTCTCAAATCAAGATTGCTGGGCGTCATTTCTTTGATTCCTTTCATTTTAATAGAAAATATCAACATTTTTCATATGAAAAAAATTGTGCGTAGACGTCGATGAAAATGGGAAAACATTTTCAATGAAATTTTTCATAGTCTGGCATAAGACTAAGTCCTGGTAAAATTAAGAAGGTATTGTCATTTCAAATAATAATATCAAATTTTATTAAATAAAAAAGTTAAGTTCGGCCTGGCCGAACTTGTAATACCCTCCACCATTTTGAAGGAACTTGAAAATTTTCAAAAAAATCCGTAGAAAAATAACTGAAATGAGAACCCTTATATGGGGGCTATACGAAGACGTTTTCTTTCGTAAGTAATTTTTTGTTACAAATACAAAATTTGAAACAATTCTGGTTAAAATACCGAATATTAGAAGGTACCGTTATATGGGGGCAACACGTAGACATGGACCTGCATGGACACTTTTCATACATTGTAGTACCCATTACGAACTTAAACTACGAAATTTGAAATATCGCTAAAATCATCAAAATACCGAATATCGGGATGTATCGTTATATGGAGCTATACGTAGACATGGACCATGGCCGTAGTACCTATTATGAACTTAAAATACGAAATTTAAAATAATTCTGGTAAAATATATCGCTAAAATCATCGGAATACCGTATATTCGGATCTATCTAATCTAATTATAATCTATATATATATAAATATAATTATGCGCTGATCAAGAATATATATACTTTGTTGGGTCTGATATGAGTATTTCGAGAAGTTTCCAACCGAATGACAAAGTTAATGAAGTTTAACATTAATGAAGCTTGTACATTTTTGGAATTTCAATCATTAAATTCAAAATGCAGTACGAGTATTCCGAAAATTATTAATTTTAATTATTTCACACTCTTTCCCCAATTGTTTAGTTCTCAGCGGTCCTACATAGACAATTTTCTACTATAGTGACTAGAATGCTTTGCGAAACATTTTAACACACTTTAAATTGGAATAACTTACGTTAGAAAAGAATTCTACAAGATTCAAAAGAATCTAGCCCACACTCTCAGAGAAGAGAACAAAGTCGCTACTGTCAATGTCGAAACCTGATCTAAAACTTGTGGTGGGTATTATCACAGGTCACTGTAAGGTGAGGGCAATGATCTCGAAATGGGACAGCGATGACATTGACTACTGTAGG